CCCCCGCATTTAACGTCACAATATAATGTAACTCATCCCCAATTTCATTATTTGAACACTTTGTACAAAATCTGTTCTCTTTAGGAATATATATGTATGCATAAGCATAAGAAATCTACATTGGAAAGTTTCCCCCCTCCCCCCGAGTACCATCACACCACGACTACGAGGGCGCTCTATAAATTCATCGGGATAGCGACCTTGCTTGTCCATGCAATAGTCACGGGAACGTACGTTATTTAGAAAATACTCACTTGAACATATTTTACTAACTCATATATTCACTAAACCTGTATACACATTAATTCGCTAAAATATTGACGTGTGTTCAGTAATCATCGTAAAATAACTTGCCTGCTGAAAATATTGATTCACAGTGGTGTGCGCCATTTTGAAACTGGGATCTTGGGAATCCTTGGAGAAACTATCAAATTATAGGGTCCCCAGCTCAAGCGTTGGGGGGTATGGGAAGAACGAATTAAATTTCATTTGTGTACCAAATGTTGGACTGAATTTGTTGGAGTGGCGTATAGTTGGACTATTTTATTACACTCGGAGTCTATAAATTTAAATACAATAAGATAAACTAAATACACTAGAAAATATTCACTAGAGTTTTTGGAGAAGCTAAATTACACTATTTTTGTTACTCATTTTATGCTAAATGGATTATTTTACTCCTTTATTATTAGTTTGTTTCGTGACTTAAAGAATTGTATCATACGGTGAGACCATTATCTGCGTAATCATAATTTGCTTCAGATAATGAAATGGCCACGTAGGCTTCCCCCCATGCCGATGTACAATGGCTATTGTGTTTTGTATTCATCCGCACAAAACATACACAAATCATACGTTTCTTAACAAATCATTGCGATTTATATACGCTTACGTGTTTCAGTAAATATTTTCGTAATTTCAATATGTTTCCGAACTCAATCTCGTGAAATATTTTCTGTTATTGTGAAAAAGTACTAGGAACTATATTAATGCCGCGTACAGATACCATTTATTTAAAGCAGCACACAACGTCACTTCCTTTCAAGCCTGTCTCCGTGTTACGTTAAAAGCAAGGTAGTATTGGTGAACGTTTTAGTTCAAGATTTCTCCGATATAGTTAACTCAGACTTAAATAATCATGGCACCCAAACAGAGGATGCGTGTTGCTAGTGATAAGTACAACAAAAACGTGACCCAAAGAGGAAATGTTGCGAAAACACTGGTAAGTTTGTCGTGTTTACGATGTCTTCCTTGTTCTCGTGACGTTTTCCAATTTCAATCCATTTGATCGTGGTTTATGTACATTTTTTCCTGCGATTGACGCAATTCTTGTTTGTTACATCAACAGAAACCGACAGATGAAAAATATCCTGTTGGTCCATGGCTTTTAGGACTTTTCCTTTTTGTTGTCTGTGGCTCAGGTACAGTAGATTTTTTAAAATAGTTGATTTCAACAGGTCTTGTTAATCTCCTAATAATTCCCAGTCGTTCAAAACAAACCTTGAGTTAACAGCAATAGTTCGATGCGTAGACTCTGGTTGTATAATGACACTGGTTCTACGAAACTTCATACCACATAGGCATTTTTGTTGCCGATTTTCAGAAAAGTTTAAATGCCACATCCGCTTACTGTATACATGTATGGCCACCAAAGCAGAAGGTTCAAAGTTCACAGTAAAATTCGATTTTAAATTTTCTCCCTATTCAATTTAAAATTTTATTGAGTACTAGCAATAATAAATGGTTGCTTTGTTCAGAAACCACAGGAGTCTTTGATGACATGTTTTGTTGCAATTTGTTTTTTTATATAAAATTCCCAAGGACATGTTTCCCTATCAACCATGTGCCCCCCACACTTCATCGCAGTGTGTAACATATGTCTGTGTTTTAGTACGTGTGTGTGGTAAAATTTCTTGTTCTGAAAGTAATTAAATAGGAATATTTTCTGAATTTAATATTATAGCGAGATCTAAAAATTTGTGTGTATTTTACCGTACCTCAGTTGAAACTAATTTGTGTTCTCCACTTGCAAGTGAAATGTAAACCTTTGACGTCATGTGAAATGGAGAGAATCTACCATGAGAATGTCAAGTCGAGTCCATATGTTAGTAGCATTCAGGGCAAATTTCGTTCTAAGTAACAATATTGTGTGCAAACTTATCTGGACTTTCTTTTATTAATTATTAGACGACGTGTTAATCCAAAATTGCACAGATACTGATTAGGTCAAACTAATGTTTGATTATAGAAATTATATTTTTTTTTCAATTCGTGACAATGCTCCGCAATTGTGAGTTTCTCATTATTTGGTGGCAGGTGGTACCTGCCTCTATTTTTGTATGAATGTTTCCCTAAAAACAATGGATGTTAATTGGATTTGAGATGCATTTCTTGGGAGATGTGTGAATGGGTCAAGGGAACATATGGTGGCCGTAATAAATACAATGGACTGATAATAAATATATCTTGTTTGGAGTATTCTTGTGTAAATTTAATTAAATATTCAATGGGAGTTTTTCCATTCCTCTCCTATTGAAACAGCATTTGCATTTCTCTGAAAAGTATTTTTAGTTTTATTTCATTATGAAGTTGTGAATAGTCATATGATTCTTCGTGGCTTATGACCACATGTTACATGACTGTGATGTGATGTGAAAACTCCATACCATGTGTGATTTTAAATACTAATTATAAATAAATGAAAACAAAAATGTGATCAGACGGTAACAGTGTTGCTATCCATGCTGTGATTTATAGCCAGAAATGCAACAAAATGAAATAAATAAGGCCTAATGCTGTGTTGTTGCACTCTGGGATGGGATTACTGCAATATGGTAGCTTAGTTCAGTCTACCATACCATTATAGGTTTTATAGCAAATCACTGCAGGGAACAGTGTTTAGTGTGATTCTCTTTCTAACTGCATCTATAACAATATGGTGTGATAAACAACAGTCATAAGTACCACATAATGATATCAAAATTCACTGTGAGAGAGGCAGTGCACAATTTTCTGTCTCTGTATTGAGTAATTATAAAATTTTGGTAATCTACCATGGCAACAGTAACCTAAGGTGCACACACTACTGAATCTGGCTACTATAAATTAATAAGCATTGATACTTTGTTTTGTACCGGTAAATTATTATACCAAGTCTGTAAAACTTGTCAATGGGTGTATAGCCCCATGTACTCGCAAATACTAAAGTACTGTTCAATAATACCATAGGACTATCAGCTCTTTAAAATAGTAACCCAGCTAGACGTGCCATATAAACATCTCAAACACAGAAATGATAAATGTTTAATGACTAGCCCTACAAGATAAAAAAAATGTTAAGCATTTACATGTATCAAACAAAAAATGTACATGTTGGTGGTTAAAATTCATTCAAGAATTTAATTCAAATTAAATATCAGTATGGTCAAAATAATTTATTCTGATATCACTTAAGATGCAATCTTGCAAGTAATGGTGTTTATGGTAGTGCCAAAAATGAATCTATGCTATTCTAGTGTCAAGCAATGGTGTCAGTGCAGTGTTTTAGATTTTCAACTACTTAAGTTGACAGTTATCTATTAATTTGTTTGTTTGTTTTTTCTTGTGAATCATTAATGCTATCAGTGATAACCCAAATAAAACAAAAATTGTCAGTAACAATATTAACAAGTTTTTGTTTGTTCAGGGTGCCCCACATATTTCAGGATGTCACTCAGGCAACAATTTTCACACAAAATTTATTCCTCAGCTACCATAAATTGTCTGTACGAAAGGAAAGATATTTTCAATTTTAGTGCATTTAATGTTGTAAATCACTGGTTAGAGATGGATATATTTTGTGATTAACATAGCATATTCACTGGGTTTTAATTTTAACAGATATCAAGTCTGTGCATGTTTGTCAGTAATGTTGAGCTTTGCTGGCTTATAGTTGAAACTTCATACCCCAGTCGTCACATACAGATCTCTCCAAATTCCAATACCTATCACACCTTTTTTTTCTCTCCTATCAGCACTTTTCCAGATCATCCAAGCTATACGTTTGGGATAGGAGAGAGTACATGGTGCAGTCTTTTTCTGAGGGAATCAGCCAGACGTTTTACAGTTTTGAACCCGACCATTGCCTCAAGCCTACTCCCTTGTGATGACGTCTATGAAATATATGCATCTCAGCCTAGCCAATATTACAGGAGCGTGGTGGATGAACAGCACACATTGAAGATCTTCTCAGTGTAATATTTTGAGCTCTCATGCAATCAGTTGGTGACTCTGCATTTACTCTTGAGATCATCAAGTGCTGTCTTCATCACCTCCACATTTCTGTGAACTTTTTTCCCTTCAAGGATATATATTTCATTGTACAAAACAAACGATTATTAAAAAAATCTAAATACGTTTTACTTTAATTTGGTTTGTGTGTTGTTTTTGTATATGTATGTATATTTATTTATTTGCTCTTATAGGTCACTGGCCCCTTTTGCTTATTACAATACTGATGCACAAATCT